TGGGAGGGGCAAGGTGGCTCTCTGGGGCTCCTTCTTATAAGGGCATTAATCCCACTAATGAGGGCTCCGCCCTCATGACCTAATCACCCTAAGGATTTTGAGGCAGACATAAACATTCAGACTGTAGCACAGGACTAGAGGCCGGAGGTAGAGGATGAGTTTCCCTCCCTCATTTTAGAGGCTCTGGAGAACTCCACAGACCTCCACCCATATTCACAATGTTGTAGGGGGCATTTTAACTTATTGAAGGAAAACAACTCCTAATAAGTCATGTGCATCAAGATAAGGGCAACGTAAGAATTAAAATTCTAATTAAAAGCCATCTAGATCCCTCTGGGTCTTTCCCCTGACTGTTCCCTCAGCCTGAAATGCTCTTCCCCGGATCTTCACAGGACTTGTTCCTGCATTTTCTTTACATCTTTGCTCAAGTGTCACGGTCTCAGAGTGGCCATCCCCTAGTCACCCCATTCAAATGGCACACTCCCCTCCACGGGTGGCATTTACTCTGTTCTATTTTTATCCCTGAAGCACACATCACTCTTAAACAGTGCTGTCCTGCGGAAGTGCAATGGGAAACCACATGCACTATTAAAAAAATGTACCACATTTTAAACAGTAAAAAGAAACAGGTGGAATTCATTTAAATTGTATATTTTGTATATTTTATTTAACTCTGTATATCCGAATAATGTCATTTCAAAGTGTAAGCAATATAAGAATGTTGAGATATTTTATATTCTTCTCTTTATACTCAGGCTGTGACATCTGGGTATATATGACATGGCACATCTCTCTTGAGACCAGCCTCACATGAAGTGCCCAGCACTTAATACAGCACAGCCATGGCTACTGTATCGGAGAGCATGGCTCTAACCTCTTATGAAATGTGCTGATGACTGTCTGGCATTTATTGTATTACACGAAGGATCTATGAGGCCAAGAGCTTGGTTACCATCCCTGCTGGGAACCCTGCTTCTGGCAGGAGCTCCATCAGAGTTGGCTGAATGAATCCAACAAGCATTTGGGCATCGTGGGCTCTCTTCCTGCCTTGCCAGCTGCAATCTGGGTGGCAGATACGACCAAACAGTTTCCTCTTCTTTGTTCTTTGGCCTTTCTCTCCTTGGTCTCTTTCTTTTCCTCCACTTTCTTCCATTTTTTTCTTTTCCACAGCAAGGAGAATAGTGATCACATTTGGGTCGTGGAGCCAAGTGACTTTGGTTGAAGTCCCTGCTGCCTCTGCTTCTCCACTAACTAGTTATCTATGCCTCTTTTTAATCAATTCCTTCAGCTTATGTGCAATGTTTCCAGTGCCCTTGGGGATAATGATAATTCTTCCTGGTCTGGGGTGGGCTATGGGGCAAGTAGCCACCTGCATGGAGTGATAGCTACACCTGATAAAGGCACCTTGCTAAGTGTGTCGCTGGGACTAATCCATATAATCCTCACAACTACCCCGGGAAGTGGACGTGGCTCTGATCCCTGTGGCACAGATAAGGGAGCTGGGGCACAGAGAGGCCAAGCAACTTGCCCAAGGCCACAAAGCTGGGCAACTGGGCAGCCTGGCTGCAGAGGTAGGCTCTGGAAGCTATGGTTTATCAACACACACTAATTAAGGACCTACTGTGTGCTGGGCACTGTTCCAGGAGGTGGGGGCACAGTAATGGACACAGGAGGTGGAGTCTTGGTCCCATGAAACTTTTTATTTATTCTGGAGGAAGAAGGAGGCCAATAAAATAAATAAATATGTGCTAGTGTTGTCTAGTGTGTTGTCTAGTGTGTTGTCTAGTGTGTTGTCTAGTGAGCAGCGCTACGGAGAAGAGGCAGGAAAGGGAGATAGGAGTATTGTGGGGTGAGATGACATTTGAGCTAGGACTTGAAGGAAGGGAGGGTGATCCTTAGGGCAAGGTCTCTCTCTAAACTGTGATGTCTTTTTTTTCTCTCCTCTTAAGCCACCCTCCCTCCGGCTGGAAGTGACTTCCCTCAGCAAGGCCAAGGTGGATCACGTGTGTCCAGCACTCTTTCATCTCTGCCTTTCTCATTGCCAAGTAACAGCAATGGCGTGACATAAAGGCACTCCAGCCACGGCCTTGGGGCTCTCTTGGGTAAGCACCACGTACATTTGAACCTTGAAGACTTGGTCATAAATAAAAGTTGGATTGAATGAGATGGTCAAGGAGAGTCAGTATCAAGGTTGGGCGGTTTGGGGAGTGCATCAGGGCTGGGCAGACCCCACTTTTTTGATAATTGGCTAATTTCCAAGAAACTACGAACGTCATTAAAAAGAAAACAATCAAAAAACAAAACAATCCTGATAGCTGAAGGCTATCGAAGGCCTTGGGGAATGTAATGAAATTGTACTAATTTATTTATTTATTTTTTGAGATAGAATCTCACTATGTTGCCTTGGGTAGAATGCCGTGGCTTCACAGCTCACAGCAACTTCAAACTCTTGGGCTTAAGCAATTTTCTTGCCTCAGCTTCTCAAGTAGCTGGGACTACAGGCTCCAGCCACAATGCCTGGCTATTTTTTGGTTGTGGTTGTCATTGTTGTTTAACAGCCCTGGGTCGGGCTTGAACCTACCACCTTCGATGTATGTGGCCTGCGCCCTACTCACTAAGCTACAGGTGCTGAGCCAATTGTACTAATTTATTAATCAATCAACCAGTAACTTGATTATTAATGAGCTAATTAACTAATTGATTACTTAAAGTCTTTACTGAGTACCTGATATGTACTGGGCATTGTTCCAGGTGCTAGGGGTATACCAGTTAGTGAAAATAGACCAGGTTCTGTCTCTTGGGAGCTGGGGGAGGTGAATAAGTGAGCAGATAAACAGACAATTGCAGATAAAATGGAGGTGGTTAATAGAGAGTGGGTTGAGTCTCCCATTTTCAACATATTAAACAGTGAAGGCTTCTCTCAGGAGTGGGCTTTCAGCTGAGATCCAGAGGAGGAGGAGTTGCTATGGTAGGATCTAGGAGGACAATATTCCAGATACAGGGAAAAGGAAGTGCAAAGGCCCGGGGGCACGGATAAGCCATATGTTCACGGAATAGAAAGAAGGCTGGAAGTACAGTGAAGGGGGTGTGTGTAGGTAGCATAGGAGGGTAGAGTGGTGGGCAGGACCCAGGCTGTGCAGGGTCTTGGAACAACTACAACACATAGTTGCACCTACATATCTAGGCACCATTGTAAGGACTGTCCCATTTCCCCCAACTTCTTTTTTTTTTTTTGAGACAGAGCCTCAAGCTGTCCCCCTGGGCAGAGTGCTGTGGCATCACAGCTCACAGCAACCTCCAACTCCTGGGCTCAAGCCAGTCTCCTGCCTCTGCCTCCCAAGTAGCTGGGACCACAGGCGCCCGCCACAACGCCCGGCTATTTTTTGGTTGCAGCCATCATTGTTGTTTGGCGGGTCTGGGCTGGGGATTTGAACCTGCCACCTTAGGTGTACGTGGCTGGAGCCTTAGCCGGTTGAGCTATAGGCGCTGAGCCCCAACTTCTTTAATATTCACAACAGCCTTATTCATGGAGAGGTTCTCATCATCCTCATTTTACAGACAAGGAAACTGAGGTACAGAGGCCCAAACCACTTGCCCCAGAGTGTGGATCTCTCTGAACTTGTTCCTCTAGATCAGGGTGGGCCCTCTCTTCGGAACACTGGACAGTGTCGGGTCTCCTTAGGGAAAGACAGTGACTGGCAAGATTGGCTAGTACACAGAAGGTGCTCAGTAAATATTGTTTCAGGCCAGAATGGGCCTTAGGGAAGCCTGCTTTCTTCTTGGGTTCATGAGTTTTAAAAGATTTCATTCTGAGCCCTCGAGGACAGGGCCTGCCTTACCCAGGTGCTGGGGACACAACCCTCCTGTTCCTGTGTAGCCCAGGAGGAGTCCCTTGCCTTCTCAGCAACCCCCTTCAGAAAAGGAAGGGATTGGCCTACGTGAGGGGCTCACACTCAATTGCAAAGAAGCAGCCAGACGGGGTCTGTGGAACGCTGCAAGGGAGCAAGCTCCCGTCTGAGGGCGCCACTTCTTGGTGTCAGGCTACTGCTGTGCCCATTTTGTTTTTTTGGGGCACTTCTCTGCAATTGTGCTTCGTTCACTTGCTCACTTGCTCATCAGCAGTCTCTGTCTTCGTTAGAAAGCGGGGGCTTAGTTTTGCTGACTTAACTTCTCTGTGTCTCAGTCCCCTAATCTCTAAAATGAAGCCATCCTGTGCAAAGCGCCCAGCACAGGAGCCAGCGGGCCTCATTCATTCATTCCGGAGTATCTGTTGAGCTCAAGCGTTCCCGCCAGGCCGTGCTCCAAGCTGGGGACCCCGCCTCCCGGGCCGCCCCGGGAGTTGGGGCAAAGCAACAACGGACATCTACCGTGCCAGGTGGTGCTCGGCGATAAGGACGAGGGTGGCATGAGGCTGGGCGCTGCTTCGCATAGAACGGCGGAGGAACCCTTTTCGATAAGGCTGTGGGAACCACGAGAGAACCAGGCGGCTGTCTGTCTGGGGGAAACGAATCCCCAGCAGAGGGAGCGCAGAGGCCCTGAGGCAGGCAGTAGCCCGCCCCGCGGGTTCCAGGTTGGAGCAGAATGAGCGCGCGGAAAGGCGGGATGAGGGCCAAGAAGTGGTGGTGCGGAGCGCAGACCCTCGTACTGGCTTTGCGTTCCTGAGTGACAGGGTGACTTCCTAACCAAGCGTGAGCTATGGTGGTGATGGTCGTGACAGAGGAAGTGTAAGGAGGAGAAGGGGAGAAAAAGAGGGAAAGCGGAGGGAGAGAGGCACAGCCGGGAGACATAGGAGGAGGAGTGGGAAAGGGGCGGAGGAGAGGAGAGAAGAGGGATGAGGAAGAGAGCGCCGGGCGATGAAAAACCGAATCCGCTTAGCCCACTGGCCTCCGCTTAGCAAGGCGTGCCTGGAAGCCGTGGTCCCGCCCCAAGGCCCTTCCGATCCGCGTCCCGCCCCTCGGGTCCGCCCCCGGCCCTGAGGCCCCGCCCCCGTCCTCCCTTGCCCGCCCGAATCCCTAAGCTCTAGGCGGCCCGGGGGCGGTGCGGCCGCGCCGGCGATGGCGCATAAAGCCACTGGCCACCTGCCCGACTGCTCCTCGGTGCGCCGCTGTCCCGGCCCCGTCGTGCCGCTGCGGCCTGCGTCTCCGGAGTCCCGGCCTCTGTCGTGTCCGGTGCCGTCCCCGTCCCTGGCCAGGCGCGGAGCCCTGCAAGCGCCCGGAGGGCACCAAGGCTGGCAGGCATGGGCGGCCAAGCCAAAGCGCGCTGGGCGGCCGCGGGGGTGGGCGTCGCGGGGCTACTGTGCGCTGTGCTGGGTGCCGTCATGATCGTAATGGTGCCCTCACTCATCAAGCAGCAGGTCCTCAAGGTGGGTGAGGGGCGCGTGGGCCTGGCTGTAGGGCACTGGGCGCCCGGCGCCGAGGAGGGCCGGGAGCGCGGCTGGTGGGTTGGCGACTTGGAGCGTGGGGAGATCAGAGCAGCTGCCCCCTCTCCAGGGCCCTCACCAGCCCAGACTGAAGCCAAGCAAAGTGGACACCCAGGGGGTTTGCTGGAGGTACAGGCTAGGGTTGGGGACCCTGAATGAGAGACCACCCTGGGAACCTGCGCCTGCCCCAGTTGATGTGGGACAAGGGACAGGTCAGGAGTGTGGCCGTGTTGCCCCTGCAGTGCGCCCAGGGAAGCTCAGGGACGCGATCAAGCGTCTCTTTTGACAGCAGCCTGTGGCAAATTCTGATAAAATTAGGACTGCACTTTGCTTGTATCCTAAGAGCCCATGAAGACAGGAAGCTTACTTTCATGTGCTTCTGTGAAGCTCACATGGGGGCCCAGCCGGTAATAGGCACTCAGTAGAGCATCCCCTGCTGTCCTGAATTTCCCCCATTAGAAACTCTTACTCAGAGGTAGAACGTTAGCTCTGTTTTTCCCCCACACAGCCTTCCTGATTCAGACTGAAACTGGTAAGCGGCTTTTCTCCTATTCATGCAGAGGCAGGCACCAGCCCAAGGTCCTTTGGGTGCACAGAGCCTTAGGTCTTTCCTCTGATCATAACCTTACACATTATTGCCCTTTTAACCAGGGACACAAATTAGGCAGACATCTGGCCTTCAGACCAACAGACTCTGCCCTGGGTGCCTGGGTTACTTGTTTGAATGGACCTGGAGTTAGTGAAGGGCTGGGAGATTGCAGAATATCACACTTGAGCTGGAAGCTCAGTGCTTTGCAGCCATCGAGCCAATACCTGCAGTGCCTGAGAGGGAAAGATTCAGCCAGACACAGAGCTGGGGTGAAGTCATGGAGATTGTCATACTAGTTGACACGTGTTTCCCGTGGCCTGCTTCTTTAGACTGAGTTTGTTAAAGAGGGGGACTTATCCACATATCATGTTTATGCCCCATTTGCAGAGTGAGTGAATGAGTGAATGAATGAAGGGTACATCTGCTTAGACCCGGCTGCCACTTCTTGGGTCCTGGTTGGTTTGAAAGATGGAGGAACATTTGACCCTTCTACAGGTCTCTGGGTGAGCCGTTGTCTTGAGTCATCCTGGCCATGTTGTATCTATTTTTTTTGGTTTTTCAGATAGTGGTCCTTTAAGTTCTGCAGCCTGACTGCAAAGAGGTGAATGGTGACACTGCCTCTGGGAATGGCGGGAAAAGCAACAGGACTGCTTCTTCCTCCCCATGGCAGCTCAGGGGTGTTTCTCTGTTATGCTTCTCTGAGTAGCTGTACTCGTTTATCTCAGTGACAGCCTTGTGGTTTCTGCAATTCCGAAGACCCCACTATGTCCCCTGGAAAGGTTGTCACTCAGGTGGTACAAGCAGGTGACCTTGTGCAAAGAGCACCTAGTCTCCTGTTTTCAGGTGTGGAGGTATTGAGGTTTAAAGCAGATGATTCTTGTCAGCTCATTTATTCTTGGACTGATTTCAGGGTGTTTTCTTTCTCACAGTGTGGATTGGGTTAAGGATGCCAGTGTGTGTGTGGGTGCATGCACATGAGTGCACCACCACATTTCCCCAGTCCTCCTCTGAGCTTTCAAAGAGGAAAACCACGTTGTCCTCAGTTGTCCCTTAGCTGGGACCTCTGGGCTTAAAGTTGAATGAGAGCCTCTTGGCACCCTTCTGTGGATATCCCAAAGGCGATTGGTTTAGGGCTGAATGGTGTGAAGGAAGGAAGACAGGAAGCCACGCCCAGCCTGAGATGCCACTTCTTGGAAGGCCCAGGCTGGAGCAGCAGCCAAGTGCCTTCTTGAGGAAGAAGAAAGCCTGTGTTAGAGGACAGAGTGGTGAGGATGCTAGGATGGGCAGGGATGGCTGCTGGTGTTTTCTTTGGCTATGCCTAGATTTGGGCAACTTGAATAGGAGGTCTTGTGCTTTGATTTTTATTTCTTTATGCTTTTTGGTTAATTAAAGAAGTCCAGGCTCGGCGCCTATAGCTCAACCGGCTAAGGCGCCAGCCACGTACACCTAAGGTTTCGGGTTCGAATCCCCAGCCCGGACCCGCCAAACAACAATGACGGCTGCAACCAAAATATAGCCAGGCGTTGTGGCGGGCGCCTGTAGTCCCAGCTACTTGGGAGGCAGAGGCAGGAGACTGGCTTGAGCCCAGGAGTTGGAGGTTGCTGTGAGCTGTAATGCCACGGCACTCTACCCAGGGGGACAGCTTGAGGCTCTGTCTCAAAAAAAAAAAAAGAAGAAGTCCATACAGTTGGCCCTCTTTGTCCATGGATTCCACATCTATTAAGTCAAGCAATCTCAGATTGAGCGTCTGTAGAAATAATAATAATAATAATAAAACTATAAAAATAATACAGATTTTAAAAATACTATATAGGAACTATTTATATACCATTTACATTGCATTAGGGATGATATACAGGAGGGTGTGTGTAGGTTATGTGCAAAATATGTGCCATTTTATATCAACGATTTGAGCATTTGGGGATATTGGTATTTGTGGGGGTCCTGGCATCAGGTTGCCTCTGATACTGAGGGAGCACTGTATATAAAAGACACAAATACTTGCTTATAAATAAATCTAAGTGGAGGAAAAAAGAGAAAGTTCCTTCCAGTTTATTCTTCTGCCCAGCTATTATCACTGTCATCAACATGGGTCTTTCTTTCTAGACCTTTTCCTTTATATCATGATCATGTATGTGTATATATTAATATATATTTTACATAAATTGAACTATATAATGTATAAATGTCTTGCAGTTTGCTTTTCAATTCAGTGATATCACTTGAAGGTTCTTCCATGTTCCAAGAGAACAATACATTTTTTCTCTCCACTGCATGGTACTCCTTTGAATGGAGATATACAGTTGTTAACCTGCTTCTCTATCACAGGATAATTTTCTCTGTCACAAACAACAGTGAATATCCTGATGCATACCTCTCTGTGTGCATGTATTAACACTTCATAGTGTAGATTTCTGTGGGTAGAACTTCTAGACCAGAAGGTGTGCTTAGTTTAAATTTTGATAGTTCCCTCCAAATTTGCCTTCTGGCCAGTGCTACCATTTTTATTTCCACTACCAAGATATGAAACATCCCCCTCCACCCCAGACCCCACCTCCACTTCCCCCTCATCTCTGCCAGTGCAAGAGCTCACCAATTTTTCATTATCATTTTTTAGTTTATCTAATGCATTTGATTTATATTTCTCAGGTTACTGAGGAGGCTGAGCAGAGACATGATGCATTTCAAAACCTGTGTCAGTTTCTAGAACTTACGGTTGCAGTTCTGCCTGTGCCATTTGCCAGAGGGACACCTCAGGCCAGATATTTTTCCTCTGAGCCAGAGCTTCATTCTTCAGCTCTAAGACATGGCTCAGATCTGGTTTGCTGCCTAAGTTGTAAGATACAAAGGAGACCACGTGTGTGCAGAAATGGCCGGGCTTGGTTCCTCATTTGAATCTGGCAACAGCTCTGTGAAATAGTAAATGGCAGTGGAATTTCTCCTTCCTACTGATAAGGAAACTGAGCCATGGCCAAGGTCAATAACTTGCCAGGGTGCACAACTTGTGGAAGTGGTGGATAGGAATCCCGATCACTGCATCTTGTTCTGCCCTTCCATAGAGTATAAATGGTATCTCTTCATTGAATGGATTTCTGGACCAAAGTTAAAAAGAAGGAACTAGATATATGTTTTTTAGCATGAGTAGGCTGCAAAAACACATTACTGGTTAAAAAAAGCTCAGGTGCTATTTATGGCCACCAAGCAATAGTTTGTATTTTTTGTTTTTTTAAAGATAGAGTTTTGCTTTGTCACCCTCAGTAGAGTGCTGTAGCATCACAGCTCACAGCAACCTCCAGCTCTTGGGCTTAGGCGATTCTCCTGCCTCAGCCTCCTGAGTAGCTGGGACTATAGGTGCCCACTACAGCTTTTTTTTTTGCAGTTTTGGCTGTGGCTGGGTTTGAACCTACCACCTCTGGCATATGGGGCCGGAGCCCTACTCCTTTGAGCCACAGGCACCACCTGTGCCTGGCTACTTTTTGTTGAAGTTTCGCTGGGGGCCGTGTTTGAACCTGCCACCCTAGGTATATGGGGCTGGCGCCCTACTTACTGAGCCACAGGTGCCCCCCAATAGTTGGTATTTTCTTTTTCTTTTCTTTTCTTTTTTTTTTGAGACAGAGCCTCAAGCTATCCCCCTGGGTAGAGTGCTGTGGCATCACAGCTCACAGCAATCTCTAACTCCTGGGCTCAAGCAAGTCTCCTGCCTCAGCCTCCCAAGTAGCTGGGACCAAGACCTGGCTATTTTTTGGTTGCAGCCATCATTGTTGTTTTGGTGGGCCTGGGCTGGATTCAAACCTGCCACCTTAGGTGTATGTGGCTGGCGCCTTAGCCACTTGAGTCACAGGCGCTGAGCCAATAGTTTGTATTTTCAATGGGTTAGTATTAGTGTATGTAAAAACTTGGAAAAGGTGTGGAAGGGTCCAGCCAGACTGACAGAAGTGATTACTCAGGAGGGAGATGGGAGAGGTCTGGGAATGTGGCCAAAGGAAGCCTAATACTTTATCAATAATTTATCAGTAATGATCTTTTTTTAAATAAAGAGAATAGATTCATATATTATGTGTTTAATTAAAAATTAAATGCTGGGCACAGCAGCTCATACCTGTAATCCTAGCAATCTGGGAGGCCGAGCTGGGAAGATTGCTTGAGCTCAGAAGTTTGAGACCAGCCTGAGCAAGAGTGAGAGACCCTGTCTCTTCTAAAAATAGAAAAAAATTAGCTGAACATGGTGGCGGGTACCTGTAGTCCCAGCTATTTGGGAGGCTAAGGCAGGAGGATTGTTCAAGCCTAGGAGTTTGAGGTTGCTGTGAGCTAGGCTGAGGTCACAGCACTCTAGCCTGGGCAATAGAATGAGACA